TTATTGGTACAAGAAATCCACAGCACCCGTTACTTAACAGCCCAATTTGTTCGTAACATACTTGTGGAGTTCTGCACAGATTTTTCCATCGAACTTTGTATGATGTTATATGAGTTTGTGTTTTATTGTGATAGGATATGAATGCTCGATGCCAGGTTGGAGTACAGTTACGTTTCGCTATGTCGTACACTCCCCAAGTTACTGACGGTATTCCAACAAACCGTAAACGCAAGTCGTGTTATGGATTGATTAGTGATGATGATGCCGATGACGACGAGGATGATGATTTCCTGCAGTTGACTCCAGCTAAGACCATTGACCTACTGATCTTTCTTATTCAAGAATTGCTAACTGTTAGCCTTTTTCTATATGATTATTGATTGAGATCTTCTAATTTTGCATCCCTTTTTCAGTAACTAATCTTGATATTCTGTAAATGGAGAAGACATTGCATTGGTATTTTTTTACCTGTTACCCAATGCAAATTGTGATTTTGCCTAAATAGTAGTAATCGGTTACATTGGTTGATGTAGTCATAGAGCACTTAGGCCATCTCCGACCGGACGCCATAACGCCATTTTTTCATCTAATTTAGGTGTTTTTAGCCTCCCACCCGAAATTCCTATATTACCATCTTTATCTTTATATATAAAAGAAAGGTTTTGCCCCGAAACCCTAATTCCAATTTTGTGAAATATTTGTAACCCTAGGGATATCTTTGTCCGTTTATCTTGAGAAGTTTTTTTTTTGTTTTGTCCGCCTATTTTTCCTGCATGTTCTCCACAATAAATTAATGAAGAAAACCGCATTTGCAAAACTTCCCACGTTGTGTTGAAAGCTCGATCGTGCACACAGTTTTTTTGTCAGTTTCTTTTTACAAATTTTCTCTCCAGTAAGGTACAGCCCTTACATCTTTGCACACACGTTCAAATAAGTTCTTCTTATAACTTCACAATTATCTTCTCCCCCTCATTTATATTTCATCAGGCGCTGCGATCAGTGGCGGAGCCAGGATTTGCGGTGAGGGTGGGCTAAAATTTTACGGGGTTCGGAGGTAGAGCCCCCGAATTTTTTTAAGAGTTTTTTTAAAAAATATAGAGCAAAATAAATAGAAATTTGTATATTTTAATTAAATTATATATATTAAATTGTATATTGTCCAAAATATAATTATTAGAGCACTTTAAACTATATTACAAATCTGTTGGGTGGGCTAATTAAAAAGATTAGGATTAAAATAATGTATAAAAATAATAACTAAACATAATTAGCATTAAAATATTCCATAAAAAAAATAAACCAGGGTGGGCTGCAGCCCTCACCCTTCAACGTGGCTCCGCCACCGGCTGCGATCCTTCTGCAATCATCTGTTTTGGGCGATTATTCAACAAGCAATACGAACAGAATTCTCTGAGTTAAGTAATAGTTGTGTAGAATGGAATTCTTGGACCCATCATGCGCACTTTTCGACACCGGGTACTGGTTTTGGGTGGACGCCGTTGGCAGCTCTATCAACAATCCCATTCTTGCACTACCTACCAGGTAATTCTGTGCGGATTATGTTTCTCTTTATTTTTTTATGTCTTTGATCTTTCTAGGAAAACACTTTTCTTTGGGATTTCTGTGGAAATAAAGTTGGACTATTTATTGTTGTGTTTATGTTCATCAAGTCTAGAATGTCGGGGATATTTTTCCGAAAATAATTAACTAAATGTTGTTGGAAAAGGTAGTAATATACCTATTGATATACAACTCATTTCTTCGACTTGCTTATAAATTTAGAATTGATGGATGTAAAACCTTGACCTTATACAAATTATGTGATTGGTTTTCTGATATATTCTCTTTGTTTTAATTTTTGCTCAAATTAAACTTTATTTGTCTCCAGGTATGTTACAAACCTTAGTACTTGAAACTAAGATTGCTTCATCTGCTGGAACGCCAATTCAAGCCTCAAACTACGGTATTTGTAGCTCCATCTCTTGAAACAAGGTTATTCGTGTTTATATTTTTTTAGATGTAGTCAATATATTTTTATTCATTAATCTATTCTTTTTAGTTTCCTTATCCTTTTTCCTTCTAATTTACTTTTAATATCCATTGACATAATATTTTAGGTAATTTATCTAGGAATAATTAAAAAAAATTGGAATTTTGTTTTTCAGATTTTACACGGCGGAATTGGTACTGGCATTGGAATATCTCCATAAGTTAGGTATCACTTACATAAAAATTGAAGACAATTGTTACATATGCTTAATTGTAGGAAGTGTGTTGGATTTGAATTGGTGAGTTTGTGATTCTAAAGCTTCTTGTGATTATGATATATATATTTTTTTGTATAAAATCAATCATCGATGGTTTCTTTTACCCGAAGGTTTCGGCATTGTTGAGTGCTTCATAAATGATTATGTTTTCTCTTCTTTTTGTTGGCCTTTGCAGATTGAATGATAGTTGATGGTCGGTCAAGCCCAACGGGAACGAGATTATCATGTTCAGAGAGGCGTCCAGCAGATACAAATATATTGCTAGAGGAGTAGGTATAAAAATTAACTTAATATTTTTTAACTAGGTATTCATATAATTTGTAACAAGTATATTAAATTTGTTTCTGATATAATTTTTCCAGATTCAGTGCTAACCTTTTTTGACTGTGCAACGGAAGTATAAAATGTGTATACAACACCTAGATTATACTATACAAAAACACTGTACAAAATAATGAAGGAATATTTTTTTCGAAGAAAAGACTTGAAAGTTCATTTATATGCATGTGAATGAATATAATCATAAATGGGAAAACTTGAAATTCTGTTTATCGAGTTTGGCGATTGTTGTTAATTAGTTTTTTAACCTGGTATTTGCTTCGTTTTACTTTTGGAAAGTTAATTGAAATCAATATGTTTTTTTTTTTTAAATTGTAATGGATTATCATGTTTTTCGACGTTTTCTTCTTCAAAAATTTCAAATATTGTTGCCTGTCTTTTCTTTAATGTTTTGGTTAAATGTTACCATTGCTATAAAGAAAGACTATATGTAGAGAAAAAAAATATGTACATAGATTGCTTTTAGCATATACAATATAATATACAATGGTACTTATAAATTTTAGCAGTAATGTGTAGTGAAAATTGTGTTTAATGTGTCTAATTTCAAGGACAATAAAAACTAATGTCATTATAATGTAATGAAAATATCCAGTTTACAATAGAAAATTGCCGCTAAAACTACATCGTATATTATTTAGTGGAAAACTTGCAATTTCAATTTATTTATTGCATATTATTTAGGTGGTGTTTGCAAAAATGTTTTTTGAAAGTGATTATGCGGTTTTTTTTGCTCATAATCTGTTTTTAGATAATGGATCCATACACCGAGGATGATAATATATTTGTCGCGTGCATAACGACTAATAGTTTATCCCGTGCATCGCACGGGGGCAATTACTAGTTACACCTAAAATTATAGAGATTTGGTTTTAGCCTCCCACCATGGTCAACCCCATATCACCAAATACCCAAATCCTATTTTTCCACCAAATTTTTTGGTGAAGAAATTTTCATCTCCCACCGGTCCACCATTTTCCTATTTTTCCTACCAAATATATAGGTGAAAATAGGATTTGGCGTAATTAACACCATTTTATTAAGTATCATATAAAATGACGATTTTAACTAATTGCACCCGATTACCAACTTATTAACATATTTATCATAAATACATTGGTATTAATTATTAAATTAGTTTTTAAAATATAAATACATTTGTTATTATTAACAAAACATTAATTCTAATAATAAAAATTGCTTATTTTTTTAATTAATTTGTATATTTTTTTGGTATTAATGTTTATTAGTTAATTTTTTTAATTACTTACCAAATACGCTAATTTCTATTAATAAAATATAATAAGCAACAATAGAATGATTAATGAAACATACTTTAATTGATGAAATACAGGACGAGACATTTAAATTGAAATACACAGCTAATAAAATAACAAACAACATAACATGATAACAAAACATGACAAACAATAACACAAATTATATAAATTTAAATCATCTTGAACTGCTTACTTAAATTCCCACAAACCTTGTGAAAGTTCGTCCTCTGTCCTGCCTGTTGAGCTTTGGAGTGATTTACGCCATATGTTAGTTTTCTTGGTCGACATCGAAATCTGATAGATCAAGAAAAACACAATGAATTAAGGAAAGTGGTAGCACACTTGTGGGATAAACGTGCTCAAATCGGTGATATTGAAGATTATGATGGTGATCATGATGATAATAGTGGTGAATGAGATTCTTTTATGATTTCAAATTAATATATGTTGTAATATTTTATTCATGCAATAATTTATGAGATTATTGTTTATGTATGATTTTATTATATTTAAAATAATTTGAGTTCATGTTACACTAGTAGAAACCCGGCCACAGGCGACGAAAACTTGCGACGACACTAGGACTCTTGCGACGAAATTAGGACTCATGCGACGATTTATATTTCGTCGCACTGGGGGTCCAAATTCGTCGCCAATGATCCCGTCGCAAAGGCTGCGACGAATTCTATATTTCGTCACTACGGGGGCGACGAAAACCCTTTTCGTCGCAAAAAGTCGATTTTATATAATAAATTAGATTTTTGTGTTTGCGACGTTTATATCTCCACTATCGTCGCTACTGTCTGCGACGGTTTGTTGCTTTCATCGCAACAAAACAATTTAAAAAAAAAATAAAATAATATTAGTTTGCGACGAAATATAGATATCGTCACAACGTATTGCCTCGAATTTCTTTGTTCGTCGCCAATGTTTGCGACGAATGTTAACTATTCGTCGCAAGATTTAGTTCTACCAAAACAAGATTTACGACGAAATATAGTACATCGACGTACTTCATTTGCGACGAAAATGATTATATTCGTCGCAAATGTTACTGTACAGTTTTATATATATATTATATATTATTTTATATATATAATAAATTACCTGTAAATAATTATTAATTTCACTAAAACAATTAAACTACTAAATTAAATTACATAGCAAAATTAAAGTCGAAGTCTACATAAAATTAAATACCAAGTCAACAGTACATATACGAATCTAGAATTACATAAAAACTTAGAAAAATATTGTAGCATTACAAAATGAAATTAATCCGAATTGAGTCGTTCTTCGTAGTCATTTGAAGTACCCGAATTTGGAGTTTTGGAGACGGGCTGATTGACAATTCCTTTTTGTCTTAAAGTATTAAGTAATGAGTTCAAAGATTCTTTAAGTGAGCTCACCTCATCTCGCGATTCTTGCAATTCTCCTTCTAAGAGCTCGACTTTAGTCTCCAACTCTTCATTTCTAACAGAAGAAAATCTTGATCTTGCAACTTTCTTAGTGGTTGAGCTTTGAATCCCAAGTACTTTTGTCTTACCCAACACTCTTTCACAAGCTATTGAGTCGACCGTACTTTGATCTTTTCCATCATTAACACACTCTTCGTATACTCTTTCCAAGTCTTCCTGAAAATACAAATAAATAACCATAAATTCATAAATTAAACAAAAAATTGGGCAGCATAACATCTATTGTATGGACATACCAAAAAAATATCAATACATAGAAAACACATCAACAAATTCAACATATATACCAACCAATAGATCAAACACAATTTAACATATATACCAAACAATAGATCAAACACACAATACCAAAACAAAAAACCCACCAACTAATTCAACATACAAAACAATTAAGGATGAAAACTTACCGCAATAGCACGTTGTTCAGGAGTTCCAATCCCAGTATATGGTTCTGCCCTCTCACCCTCCTCCGTGGATGACCCGGATTCCACGAATGGCATCAATGGGTCAATACGCATATAGCCTTTTTTATATTTATCAACCACGGTAGGAGCTTTACCAAATTTTTGAAGCTGTAATAAAAATTTATAAAAAAAATTAATATAAAATATAAATGAATATAATACGAAAAATAACAAAAAAATATATAAGACTAGACTTACATGTTCATGAGACCACCCACTAATACTAGTTCGACCCCAATGGTGGTCGGTAGGGATTTTCATTCGGGATTCTCGGCATTTATCAGACTTGGACTGTGAATATACACATGTTAATAAACTTCGATTAAATTTATTTGAACATGACAAATTAGGAAAAAAAAATCAAAAGAAATATAATTTACCTTGCCATCACCACTGGAATCAGATATAGAAAAAAATTGATCACACAATTCCTCCCATGTAGATGAACTAATCAATCCCTTCGGACGATTTGCCTTAGCAGTGGCAAGATCTGGTTGTCTATCATAAAAAATTTTCAACACTTTAGTTCTATGATCTTTCCAACGAGCATTGGCCGTAGCATTGAACCATTTCTTCGTAGCATCTCGATCAGGAAGTTTCCATTTGTCCTAACAAGAATAAAAAAAATTCATATACAACAAATCAATTTAACTAACTAAGAATTATTATTAAATTTTTAATAATTTCAAATACCTTGAATCGTAACCACAATTGCTCAACCCGACCGTCTTTTTTGTGCGTAGGCCAAGAAATGCAAGGACTAAAAAGGTCACAATGTGTAACTTGACTAGCAATGGCCCGCACCAATCGGTTCCTCCCACGCCCGACTGGAAGACCTGCATCGTTATAGTCCACGTGTACTACTACATCGTAATCTGTGCTCGAACCTTAATTCCATTGCGACGTTTATATATTCGTAGCAATCTGGGCTCCAAAATTTGGGAAAGAGAAAACACTTGCGACGTTTCATATACATATTTGTCGCAATATTTATTAAAAAATAATAAAAGGAAAATAATTTATTCTAACTGCGACTGTTTCCTAAATCGACGCAACGGGAAAAGAAATAAATGCAATTTGTTTGCGTCGTTTAGTCACAATTCGTCGCAGGTAACATAATAAATAAAATAAAAATTATTCTAATTGCGACGACGTACATTTCGTCGCAGGGATTGAAGAAAAAAAAAATTTTCAAACTCCTAGCGACGATTATCTGTATTTCGTCGCTAAAATATACTTAAAAAAAAAATTACTTTTCGCGACGTTTGTCGATTTTTCGTCTCAAAAATATGTGAAAATTATTTTGTTTTCTCGTTGCGACGTTTATTGACAGATTCGACGCAACACAGCGACGATACTCGTGTTTCGTCGCCAAGGTTTTGAGTCAAAAGCGGGATTTGAACTGTTGCGACTAATGTAGTAGGAATCGTCGCAAAATTGCGACGATTTGTATTTAGTCGCAAATTTTAACGTCGCCAGAACTGTGTTTTGGCCTAGTGTTATTTCATGTTTAGACATTTTTTTAAAATTGATAAAATAATTTTAAATTATATAGTTAAGAAATTTTATTACTTAGCGTTGGATCTATAATTAATATTTAGGAAATAAAATATCATAAAATTACTATTAACATTAGATTTATAATTTTGGGGCATATATGGTGAAATGCCATGGGAGACCAAACCAAATCCCATTTCCTAGAAGTGGTGAAATGGTGAAATATTATTATTTTAATATTTGGTCTAAATTTTGGTGAAACCCATCGGCGACCAAAAACACCATTTTTCCACCAAAAATGGTGGAAGAGTAAAATGGTGTGTGAACCGGTAGGAGATGAACCCATTTTTTCACCACCATAAATGGGATTTGGTGAAAAAATGGTGAGACCGGTCGAAGATGCTCTTAGAGCATCTCCCACCCTTAACACCATATTTTCACCAAACTCTATTTTTTTTGGTGAAAAATGGTGTTATCTTCCACCCGTGGCACACCATCTATGGAGAATAGGATCTGGTTTGGTCTTCCATGGTATTTCACCAAACATATCACAAAATTATAAGTTTAATGTTAATTGTAATTTTGTCTATTTTATTTCCAAAATATTGATTATGGATTTGATCTTAAGCAATGAGTTTATTAAATTTTAAAATTATGATAAATATAAACATTCATTATTATTATTATTTTTTTGAGAGAAGATATTATTAGGATGAATTGCCAAAACCAACAGGAAGGTAAGAGCCTTCACTGTAAAATAAAATGTTCCACTCGAAAAGTGTGGCCGCATTAAGCTATTGTTGTAGCACGAACTGACCGTAAAACTGTCTGGAGAAGAATAGCGCCACATTCATCCCTAGATCTTTGCCCAATGTCGATCACTGAGAAATCGAAAAATCTTCTTTCTCGATTTCCCTAAGGAAGTTGCCATGCCTAAGTATTTTTCGTGTCGTTCCACCACTCTAAAGCCCAACAAATTGTGTATGGAATCTTTCACCATCGATTGAGTAGCAGGACTAAAATACATTGTAGACTCCTCACCGGAGACATTGGCATATTAGTGTGAAAATGTAAGAGAGGATAAAGACAAAAGATCTATATAATATAGGGCGGTTAAAAGAGATATCAAAAAGGTTTTCGTCCTCACCCGTCGATATGCGAGAAACGAACATACATGATGCAGACACGTGGGCACCGACTAGGCCAAAGTGCATTCGAGGCAACATTTAGGATGAAATAACCTTATTTGCAACGAAAACATAAAATTTGCGACGTTTATTTTGCGACCGATTTACTAAAATGTCGCAAACACGTTTGACGATTTGTCAATAACATCAAAAGATTGTATTTGTTTCATCTACTGATTTATTGCGACGAAATTGTGAAATCGTCGCTGTATTCGTCCTCCATCCGCGAGAATGTCAATTGTTGCACTATATTGCGACTATATTTTCGAAACATAATTCGTCGCAACTTTTTTTTTCTTTTTTTTGAATCTTTGCGTTGCTTTCTACTATTTGTGATTTGTCGCACATTTTTTGTTATAAAATTGCCATGAATTAAAATAAAATCGTCGCAATTATCTGTTATGATCACGGACGAAAATTTTGATGCAGTCACAATATTTCTTTGTACGCGTGGCGACATTGTTGTAAACGTCGCAACTTTATGAATATATATTTTAATATATTTCTACTTTTAATTGTTAACTTACCTATAATTATAAAAAAAAAAACCAATAAAATTAAATATACAAAACAATTAAACAACTCATGCTTATATTAAATCATTCCAAAACACCTCGGCGGTTCAAGAGGATTTGAATTAGGGTCACGTGGCCGCCGAGGAGCGTTTTAGATCTCGGGCCGTTGATATTAATTTGATCGAAGGGATTCCAGCGAACTTTGGAAGCTCATGCGGTTGACATAAAAAGTCGAGGAGACGCCATAATAATGATGGCGTGTCAAAGGTATCCGCTTGGTTTCAAGGCTATTGAATGGACATGGTCGGCTCGCATTTTATTCTCTAACGAACCACTTCGTTCGTTCCACTATAGGATTGGGCTTACTGATAAGATGGCAACAACTCATGTGGGCCGAGATGGACTTGTTGGGCCAGAAGCCCAATGAGTGCTGAGTATAAAGGCATGTCGAAAGCTCGCTGGTATAAAGCCTGTTAACATTGAGCTCGCTAGACAACCTCGTTTTATGCGCACTAAATCCTTAGTTTGTCTTCGTCGGTCATAAATCCGACACTAGTGGACTTTTCAACGGTCAAATTAATTAAATTTAGAAGAAGGTCTTGATGATGTAGATTCTACGCGGTCAAAAGCAATGAAACATTTATAACACTCGAGTCTAGTAATAGATATAAGAGTTGGGTAATTGAGTGGTTTTGTGTCATATCTATCTATACCTATCACTAAGTCCCACACAAATATTATTTACTTATATAGTTATATGTGGGTACTTGTCAATACATATAATATGAATTTGTTTTATCCGGTGCAGTTCACCCTGAATGTAACGTTTAATATACAATAAAAAAAATGTGATGCATTGTTTATATCAATCCAATATCTAACACGAAACTAGTGCATATTTAATGAACCCGAGTCTCGTTATTCACGTGACAAATTTATGTGTCGATATATCGAGCTTTGATTATGATTAATGTGACTCAGCGCAACTCGGAGTTGACAAACTTATGCCAAGAGATGTAAACTAGTGATTGTCATTATTGAGTAAACTAATCATTGCTTAATTAGATAAACAAATTACGTTGGCAGTTGACATATTTATTTAGACTTGTATATTTTGAACATATTCACGGACCACCGCTTATTATAACCATAAATCTTAATATACCAACCAATTACTATTATTATTATGTATATATAAAATAGTAGTAAAAGAATATTTTTCTGATGCAATTATTAAATTGCAAGTTGGTGCAATTTAATAATTGCATCAGAAAAGTATTCTTTTACTACTATTTTATATATACATAATAATAATAGTAATTGGTTGGTATATTAACATTTATCTACTATTGTATATTGATTTTTTTTAAATTTATATACAAATGCTATGTATGGCCCATATTTTTTTTTCTACCTCTACAATTTAACTTTCAATTATAATTAATCCTATACACATTAAAATTTAACTTTCAATTACAATTTTCATGATCATACAAATTCTTTTTGAGCACTTTTCTGCCAATCATGTCCGAAGAAATGAAAATAGAGTAGCACATAAAATTGCTCGACGTTGTTTCAAATGGTTTTAATTTGTACCAGTTCATTACTTCTCGAGATTCAACATATTGTAAACGATCATTTGAAGTCATAATATAAATCTTCGTTCTTTCTTCTATAAAATAACATGCTTAATCAAATCAATTTAATCTTTCTTTAATGAACTTATCAACTATTTGATTCTTTCAAAGACTAATTATGTAAGAGCTCCAATGCTAAACATTAAAATTGAATTATCAAATACTCATTTGATAATTAAAATAATATTTTAATATTCATTAATAGTTTATCTACTCCAATCATGCTTATCAAATGTAATAACCAATTGGATGTTTTTTGTGGGTTTATTTGTAATTGCCACGTGTCATTTTGTGATTGGATGTTTAGGTGGTTATTTTTTTGGTAACTCAATTTCGAGAATATATTTTTACATGCAAAGAGGTAGAATATCAAAATACTTACCCATTTTGATACTCCTATTGGAGTAAAAAAATTTAATTTTAGATATCAAAAAGGTAGTTTATGGATTTGATAATCCATTTGATACTCCCATTAGAGTTGCTCTAAAAGTTGGAAAATTGACAACAATATTATCAGTTCACTTAAATTATTTAATTTAGGAATTAAACAATTGATTCACGAATACTCAAATTTCTCTATTTAACGGTGTCTGCAAAAACTTTTGTAAATTGATTATGTGGTTCTTTTTGGTTTTTTGTCCTTAGGCATTTTTTTAAGATTTGTAATAGTACTAGTTTTGTTTTCACTTCTTTAAAAATTATGCTATTTGATTCTTTCAAAACTAATCATGTGCAAGAGTTTTCACATTGGCTATTTAAATCTTTGACAACTTTTTTTATCTCGCAAGAGATGGCCTAGTGGTTGGAGCAAGTGAGTATGTAGGATGTATTAATTGATTCAGGTTCTAA